TAGAGGATATATCAAGTTTAGTTTATTTTGGTAATGGAAGAAAAACATAGTGCCGCAAAATGAAAGTATAGTGTTAGAAATGGAAATGCGGGATTTGTTTTGTGGAGTTTTAGTAAATTGCTTCTTGAAAATGATTTAAAAAAATTTGGGTGACAAAAATCCCTTGAGTATCGATTTTCTCTGCAGGAAAGCTTTGTTATGAAGAAAAAAGTGCAATGTGCTGCGTAAGTTTTTTTGCTGTAAGTCTTCTTATAGAGGAACAGAAAGTAAATCAGTGTTAAATTTGTGAAATGTCCAAGTGGTCTTATAAAAAAGGTTTATTTTTCATCTCACAGATTTTTTTCCATATCAAAATCTTTGTTCATATTCTCTTTATACCCTCCGCCATAGTAAGGAGGGTATATTAAGTTTGTTATTCTGTTTGAACACTTCGAAATATACATTTTAGACCCCACAAAGTATATATATTCTTGATCAGCATAAAATTCTATATCAATTTAGCGATGTCCGTTCGTCTATCCGTCTGTCGAAATCACTCTAGCTTTAGAACGACATGAAGTAGATTGATGACATTTTATTCAAATGTATATTATGCTTGCTGGACTTTTGGTATTCAAAATGGGCCATATAGGTCCAAGTTTTGGTATAGTCTCCATATAATGGTACCTCCCTATTTTCGGTATTTTGGTGGTTTAGCGACATCACCGGAATTGTTTCAAAATTGGCATTTGAAGTTCGTAATGGATACTACAGCCTAAGACAAACAGTTTTCTGTGAAGGGCTCGCCTTCGTATAGCCCCCAGATAACGATATCGCCTGATATTCGGTATTTTGATGATTTTAGCGACATTGTTCACAGCAGTTGTTTCAAATTTGGTATTTGAAGTTGGTAATGGATACTTCAGCTTAGGACAGAAAATTGTCTGTGCAAGTCCACGTCTTCGTACAGTCCCAAATAACGGTAACTCCCGATATTCGGTATTTTGGTAATTTAAGTGACATTATTTACCGGAATTGTTTCAAATTTGGTATTTGAAGTTCGTAATGTCTATGACAGAAAATTGTATGTGCAGGGCCACGTTTTGGTATAGGCCCTATTTTAAAGAACGGTACCTCCCTATATTCGGTATTTTGATGATTTTAGCTACATTATTCACTGATTTTTTTTAAATTTCGTATTTGAATATTGTAATGGCTTATGATAAAAGTTACCTATGCTGGTCCACGTCATCGTATATACCCTTATATAACGGCTACATTAACAGAACTTTTAATGGATTTTTTTTTGAAAATTGCCAAATTCGTTCCAAATAGTGGTGCTCCGACTGCGGCACACTACGTTTCTTTAGTGCTCCGACTGCGGTAAAGTACGATTCTCGTTGTGCTCCGGTACAGTATCATTAAAATATTTTTTAAGGGTTTTGCTCCGGTACGGTCCATTATCTTAGTGTACCACTCCTCCTCAGAACGGTACAGAATACTACGGTACAGTACCATACTGTTTATTTTCGAACGCTAGTAAAAAGTTTTCGAACTGCCCTCGTATTCAATTCCTTCCTTAGGTTATTTTCTCAGAAGGCACCCTCCTTGCTCTTAGCCAACTAGATTCCCTATAACTAAATAATACAGCAAATCATTTATCCATACTTTCCTTAGATAACTCAAAATATGCCAACATCCTGTATTGTAGGGTATCGTCTGGTATTTATTTATTTTGAACATTTATCCTTTTGTCTTCCTAGCAATAACAGCAACAACACCATAACTGCAATGTTATTTTTACTTTTAATTGAATTATAATAATTTATAAATAATAAATTATTCTGTCAAATGTAATCAAAATATTATTATGATTAAAATGTTGTGTTCATGGGTGTGTGTGTGCGAATAAATGGTCAAATTAATTACAATTTTATAATCATTCTTTCTCCCTTATCCTCTCCTCTTCTAACGCTCTATTGAAATTACTTCATCATGTGAATGTGAAAAATGTAGAAAATTTTAGCCATTGTAGACTGTGTGAGTTTTATCACATACAAATATAAAATCACATACATATATGAAAAAATTGTTATTTTATATAGTTGTTGTAAACAAAAAAGAAGTGTTTAATTGTATAATAGTTATTTTATTGCATGATTAATTGCTGCATAAAATAATAAATATTACAAAATTATTTATTATATATGTTTGCTGTGGGAAGGAAAGTGGAAAATGAATGAACAGATGGTAGGGCAGGGATAAATTTGTCCACGATTTTGGTTCCACGTTCAAAACACAATATACATGAATTATGCAAATATTTAGGGGTTAGAGATCCAAGAATTCTCTCGTATGGTTTTTGTTTTTAAGATTCAACCCTATTAACGATCCGCTAAGATTCTTATATTTCCTTTCAGTGTTGATTTAAATTAGAAAACCGATTTTTATTAAACATTGATTTCCCTTTTTCATAATTCCAATTTTCACAAAACATTCGCTTGGACAGCCTTGAACACTTTTACTAAACATTCCATACCATTTCTGATATATTTTCATGCTTTGTATGCGGTCCATATGACAGCATACTCGTATCCACCAGCCAAGTGCCTACTTACCACTGCTTAATATTCTTTGAAATGCTGCTACTCTTAGTGGTATAAACACTACAATGGAGAGTTAACAATTTTGTTAAAATAATCCAATTTTTAAACATAGATTTAACAGGTAAACTCAACAACTAAAGGCTAAAAATAAAGACTACTAGCCACTACACATGGTGTGTTAATAATAATTGAGAAATGTTATGAAATGAACTGAAATGAACTAAATGTTTGAAGACAAAGCATTTTTATGGAAAGACAAAAAAGTCTAGTTTGGCGGGAGCTAAGTAACACTTTTGAAAAATGGTAAAATTTAATATTCGAACAAAATATTTTTGGTTTTTTTTTTTGTCATTAGAAGTTGGAATTTCCTAATTTGAAAAATTAAAATGTTCTCAAAATACAGAATATAGGGTGCTACTTATTTGCGTACGGAAGCTACACGGATTTTCACTGACGGACAGACGGAAAGGCTTACTAAATCGACTCTTTAGTACATACGTCTGAAGGATTTGATAAATCGTGATTTAATTAGAAGATATAGGAAAGTTTTTCAAAAAAAAAAAAAAAAAAACAGAATTTAAAACAATCCAAACCCAAAACAAATGGTCCATCCGTTTAGTCCATATAATACGTTTTAATTAGAATACATATTAAAGAATTTATGTAATTTAAATTTGCGCTATATAAAAAAGGGCTTAACTTTACCATTTGTTGTTGCTCCATACATTTTTAATTATGGCACATCAATAGCTCTCAACAAAGTCAACAACTGACCTATTTACATAAAAGTAACAGCAAATAATACACAATGACAGGAATGTCAATAAGTTATGGACGATTTTTTTTATAAAACCTGAGTACAAAAGGAAAAATTAAATTATTGTTAATAATAAAAAACACTTCAAACTAGTATGGCTTTAAACAACTTGTTGTGTTGGTAGGCGTATGAGAAACAACATTATTCATGCGCCACACTTTTATTACGGCTTGTAATAGCAAAGTCCCGTAATGAAATTGAAAATTAAGAAGAGTAGATATTTTCCTTCCAACTGCAATGTCGTTCTTTTGCTAAATTTCAAAACTCTAACGTTTATATTGCGAGCCAAGCCGTGATTCAACAGAAGGCATATGCCGAATTCGATACAGAATTTTCAAAACTATTTCGAGGTCATGCGAATGGAGTGACAATCAAATTATACCTCCTAACGATATGCATCGATTTTAATCTTAATAAATTAATACAATTTTCCGGGCGAATTGGCTGTCCACAGTGTTTTTGGGTGTTGGGGAATGGTACTAAGAATATGAATGGAAAGGTAATAAATACTCTCATGTATCATAAGCCTTTTTCAGTTCTTTGAGATTCGATTTTTTGATTATTGAATTAAATTATATAATTATTATTTTTTAAAATAAGAAAAAATAATCTGTCCTAATGTCCTGAATTTGGTACATCCGACAAAATTCTGTCTAGAAGCAGGTACGCCGAATTCGGAGAAAATCGGTTCAGATATAGCTATAGCTCCCATGTATATCTTTTATTCGACAACAAGGCAAATGTCAGATATCTTATGAAGCTCGGAAATAAATTTGCCAAATTGTATGTAAGATTTGGATATAGCTCCTATATATATCCTTAATCCGATTTCAGGTTTATTGTGCAAATAATAGCTAATAGCAGCCCAAAAAGAGTGAATTTTGGGAATTCGTTTCCATTTTGTGGAACTCGGCTCGGAAATAAATTCTTTTGTTACGGTAGTTCTAGCGTAGGTTATCATATATTCCGTCCCGCCCGACTTTTGCTTTTCCTTGTTGGTTTCCATTTAGAATCAGCAATCAGCGCTTTAAAATATGTCCACAAATTTGTAAACATCTATATGAAACTGTCACATTATAAAATTCTGACATACCATTTTATTTGTTTGCGGTAAGCATAACGGAAAATCTTTTGAATTCATGGCATTCAGGCATGTCACAGAAGTTTTACGAAATCTGGTAAACATTACCATCGTTCTCCACTCATAAACAAACGTTGTTTTTATAAAAACAACAATAATGGGATTTTGCCTGACGATTTTGCAACAACAAAAGTTTTACGAAATCGATTTATTTCACCTTTTCCAAATCGTTACGATTTGCTTTTGCTTCTCCAGCACTCGTACGTTTTGAGTAATCCGGAAAAAAATCATTTCACATTTTTGAAAAAAAAATATGGTAACTCCATGAAAAAAAAAGTCGTAAACAAATTATTGACAATTAAAAAAGGAGTTTAAATTGTTTTTTATAATATAAAAACCAAAAGTAAAAATGCCAGGGGCTTCAATACTTGCTGTAATGGATGAAGAAATAAATCAGCGATCTACTGAAAAAATTCGTCGCCGGACATCGCATCGCATCCTTTATCTCACTCAAATGCAGAATAAGGATCCGCCAGCAATGAGTTATTTTCAAATTTATTTTAATAATAATTTATTTCTACAGATTTATAACTTATTATCGGCTAAATAAAGAAGCTTTTGTTTTAGTTTTGGAAAAAATTTCTCCCCACCTCAAACGTTCCAATATACCGGCTATTATCCAGCTTGCAACAACGCTTAGGTTTTTGGCTACGGGTGCATTTCAAGGAGTTATAGGTAGAGATGTGGAGCTAAGCCTTGGGAGAAGTACAGTTTCTACAATTATGTGGATTATTATTAGTGCAATTGGAGCTGAAATTTGTCCACATTGGATCAAATTAAGAATGTCTTCCGAAGAAAAAAGAAAGTCGAAATTGTACTTTTTTGAAAATTATGAAATTCCAGGAATTGTAGGATGCATTGACGGAACTCACGTTAGAATGGTTAAACCTTCCGAAGACGAATCCCTTTTTTATAATAGAAAAGGGACATTTAGCATGAATGCAATGATTGTAAGTAAACCAACACCATTTTCATTGTATAATTTTTATTATACATATACTTTAAAAATTGTTCTTTATTTTTCAGATATGCGATTACAAAATGAAAATAAGAGCCGTAGATGCTTGAAGGCCCGGTTCTTGCCATGATGCCTTTATTTGGAATTTAAGTGGGGCAAGACAATTTTTTTTAAATCAATATGAAGATGGTGACAGAAATTCTTGGTTATTGGGGGATTCTGGTTATGGATTGGAACTATTCCTAATGACCCCATATAGGGATGTTAGTGTAGGAACAAAGGAGCACAAATTTAACAAAAAACATACCCTAACGCGTAGCATAATAGAACGTACAATTGGTGTACTTAAAAGTTCATTCTAAGAGAATTTGGTTAATACAATATTTTCTGTTAAATGTATGTGTCTTCTGTTTATTTTTTACGTTAAAATCACTAAACATTTCAATTTCACCCTGCTTTTTGAGAGTGATATCAAAACGCAAAATTTTTGCGTTTTCCGTTTTTTAGAGAAGCTAAAACCGTTTTCGTTTTCACTCTTGAACGATTTTACATTCTGTGACATGCCTGATTATTAATATTTATTTCTAAAAAATCAACAGAATAAGTTAACTTGAATTATTCTAAATTGTTTCAATATTGCAATAACAATAATTTAAAATTGCCATGATGTCTAAAGTATGATTTCATCTGTTTAATATTTTATTGTTTACCTTGTTACAAGTAGTTATTCGCAAAAGCCAAGGCAACATTCCATCTACATGATTTTTTATCCCCATATGTAGAATTTACAAAATCAATTTTTTTTGTTACTTCTCCTTTTCTGACATGCTTCTGCTTGCTTGCTTTGTAATTTGATAAATGTTCGTAAACATTGCTCAAGTTATTGTTTGTGTTGCTGTCATGTTCGTTTTATTATTCTAGAACAGATTAAATTTCATAGTTTTTCGAAATTAGGTAAACAAATCCATGTCAAAGGATTTGAGAACGATATGTGAAACAGGTTTTGTTGTAAAATATCTAATAGTATTAAATCATTTTGTTAGAGTTTACATTATTAGTTGTTAATGACTAATAAATGCTGGAAAAGTGTTTTTACGTTTTGTGGTATAATTTTAATTAGTTTTATAATGGAAATTGTTATGTGAGAGTATATTTAGAGAGTTAACCATATCAACTACTAGTCATAAATTGCAAATGTAAAAGTTAAATGGTTAAAGTTAAATATGCGATAAGGCTGTCTACAACAGACTCAAACATCTTGTGTAAACTAGCTATAAATTGGATACACATTTTATTCTGTGAAGTTCTTTTAAAAAATTTATATTCCATTTCTTTAAGATTTTGCAAATTTACTAAAATGTTGATATAGACAACAACAGAACGATTCGCATTAATAACCATGAAAAACATAGCTTTTCAAAGTTTTATCGACTTTATATATATTACTAATGTATGTTTCTTTTTCAGATTTTTTTAGAGTTCACTTGCAAAGCTTCATGCTAATTTCTTTGCGGCCAAGGGATGATTAAGGGTCTACGGCTGCCTGCAAACTTTGAGCCCACACGCTGTAAACCGCAAGTCGGGCATATGAATGCATTTTTAGGGAAGTATCAGTACTTGAATGAATGATAAGCATGTACTTGGTGGTATTGTTTTGTATTTTCAGATCTACCCAAGGATGTGAGATGACTTCTCAACTGATTTGGCAAAGGATTTTAGGGGTTTTTCCCTAATAGTCGGCAGTCATAATCGCAGAGAGTATAAGCAAAGTAGATGTGTATATTAATGACAATACATAACTGTCGTATTGTCATTAATATACACATCTACTTTGCTTATACTCTCTGCGATTAGTATGATTAGTATGATTTCTACAAAACAGTGTGCGAGGACATTTAGTGTATAATAGGGAATGTCAGGCCCAACAATTAATCTTACGACAGTGTTCTTATATAACATAATAATAAAACATCAAAGATGTAAAGAACTAATATTTCATTGTAATGGTATTGAAAAGGTCTGCCACTCACAATACAAATTATTGTGCAACATTTTAATGCTCCTCATCGCTATATCTTGATTTCAACAGACAAGATATCTTTAAGTCGACTTATTAAAAATAAATAAGTAAAAAAAATTCATAAAGTTTTAAATGAACTAGTTTCTGCGAATGAAAATGAAACTTTGAAAATTAAATTATGACAAAATTAATTTACGCTGGTAAGCTTTACCAACGCTCTTCACTAATAAACAAACTTTGTTGTTATAAAAACAACAATAATGGAATTAAGCCTAACTATTTCGCAAAACGATTTTTTAACTTAATTTTTTTATAGATTTTCACTAAATCATAGGAAGATAATGCCAGTATAATCAATATATAAAGTAACACAGAATAATATATTAGCTTCTAACATCGTTAACACAAACGACAATGATTTACCTATTGGAAACAGTAATCTTGACATCAAATCCTGATATCATCAGGGCCAGAATCTGAAATGGAAAAGGAGCGACACACATTTATGTACAAATACAATCAATTAATTTGTTCTTTTTTGTACCTTTGCACTTTTTACATTTTTTAAACTCTGAAATTTCACTGTAAAAATATACAGAAATTAATTAGTATAAGTTAATTAATAATATAAATATAATTTTAATGGACCAGAACCCGAAATAGAAAAGGAGGGATAAACAATTATGTACAAATAAAATCAATTAATTTGTTCTTTTTTGTTCCTCGGTTCTTTTTAATATTTTTAAACTCTGGCGTTTCACTGTAAAAATATTTGTAAATTAATCATTCAATGTAAGTAATTAAAAATTGAATTTTAATAGAAATAATAAAGATGCATAAATTTCAATTTATTTTTAAAGAAATTTTTTTCGGCTCACAACCGTCTTAAGAGGTGGTGGGGGCGAAATAGAGAGGTAAGTAAAAGGTATAAGTCTGGAACACCTAAAAGTAGAAAGGTGCCTTGGTGAGAGATGTTCTCAGTGATTGCTAGTTTGTTTCTATTGCTAAACAGCTGCCATAAAGCACCGCTAGAATTTTGTCTACCCTTAGAGGTTTTAATTGAAGAAAGTATCCAGACTTCATATTCTAAAATCATTCTTTTGCTATAAATATCTATACAATACGAATTTATTGCTTTACTTCAGGTAATCCAATCCTGGCGATTGAAAACGTGGAAGAATTTAATTTATAATGCAAATTTTTTGAAAACAAAACATAAAGGCTGCATTCATATTTTATTCCATTCGATTAACAATAAATAATAACGCTTTTTCTGGATGGACCTTACAGATTCATTGACAATTTTGCAGCGACAATGCAGAATTGATTTCAATAGCATTTCAGTGAAAATTCAATTTGAGTTCAATAACATGTTCTGCAAGCCTTTAGTAAATCCTTGCACAGTGACATTCGGACAATGAAATGAAAAATCATTTGAACAACGAAATTGGATTTTTAATCGTTTGCAAAACAAATCGCAATCTTACACAGGAAATAACTTAATTTAATTTATTGCATTATTTATTGCTCGTGAAGGCCAGAATCAATGAATAAATTGTAATGGAGAAGTAATTTAGTAATGCCGTACTTCATGTGATTTAATACAAAATATTCCTGCAATGCATGATTTTAGGAGAATGACGTCAAAGATAAACATAATTTTTCACTATGTATCACCAAAGAAGATGATTCTCCACTTCTATTATATACCAAGAAAATGTTTGCATCAATTTTGAGTTGATGACAGAAAGTTACACGTAATTCCGTTCTTAAAAAGTTTACTATGTACTTTTAGAATAAACAATTAGAATTTTATGAAAATTACATTAGAAATATATTTTTTACAGGTGATGAATATGTGCATACGTTTTTAATGCTAATTTAACACGCTTCCATTCTTAGGCAAAGCCTTTAATGATACTTCTTTTGCGAAAAGTGTTAAAGGAAGAAATACTCTTGATCAAATTTCATTGGAAGTCTCCGAACAAAATAAATACACACATGTACCATAAGAAATATATGTGTTTTTATACCCTCCACCATACTGTGAAGGGTATATTAACTTTGTCATTCCGTTTGTAACTCCTCGAAATACTCATGTCGGACCCAACAAAGTATATATTCTTGATCAGCGTAAGTCGATTTAGCCATGTCTGTCTGTTTGTCTGTTGTAATCACGCTATCTTTCGAACGAATAGAGATAGAAGGCTAAAATTTTGCAAACTTGTTTATTTTTCCAGTAGGCAGGTTAAGTTCGAAAATGGGGCATGTAGGACCACGTTTTCATATAGCCCCCATATATAAGTACCTCCCGATATTTGGTATTTCGATGAGCGACATTATTCAGCGGAATTGTTTCAAATTTGCTATTTGAGATTCGTAATGGATACTACAGCCTGTGACAGAAAATTTCCTATTCTGGTCCAGGTCTTCGCACAGCTCCGATATAACGGTACTTCCCTATATTCGGTATTTTGATGATTTTTAGCTACATTATTCACCATTTGTTTCAAGTTTGGAATTTGAGTATAGTAATGACTTATGACAAACAATGCCTATGTAGGTTCACGTCGTATATACTCCAATACAACGGCTATATTCCGTATTTTTTAAATTTTAACAGAATTTTTAACGTATTTTGTTTCTTAAATATTTCCTAATTCGTTGCAAATTAACTTACTACTTTTTAACTTGCTTTTTTGACAAAATTTAGGTATTTTTCCTAATTACCTGCACATTTTTATACCCTCCACAAAAAAAGTATGGAGGGTATACTAAGTTCGTCATTCCGTTTGTAACTCATCGAAATAATCATTTTAGACCCAACAAAGTATATATATTCTTGATCAGCGTAAAATCCTAAGACGAGTTAGACCTGTCCGTCCGTCTGTCCGTCTGTTGTAATCACGCTACGGTCTAAACAAATTAAGATAGGAAGCTAAAATTTTGCACAGATCTCTCTTTTGTCTGCAGGCAGGTCAAGTTCGAAGATGGGCTATATCGGTCCACGATATCGTATAGCCCCCATATAATGGTACCCCCGATATTCGGTATTTTGATGATTTTAGACACATTTTTCAATGGAATTGTCTGAAAATCCACACAAGGAGTCCCTTGTGGGCATTTTACCTCCTCAAAATGAAATGTCTATTCAGGTCCACGATATCGTATATCACCCATATAACGGTACACCCCGATATTCGTTATTTTGATGATTTTACCCACATTTTTAAACGGAATTGTCTGAAAATCCACACAAGGAGTTCCTTGTGGGTACTTTATACCTCGGCAGAGAATTATCTATATAGGTCCACGATATCGCATAGTCCCCATATAACTGTA